TAATGCTCTTTCTTTTCATACAGTTCTCATTGTTATTTTTTTCACAAAGTTTTTTTCAGGAAACATTTCCACTTTTTATTATGTTCGGGTATGACAGTTATTTTAAAAAAGCCTCTTTTTTTCCGCTCTTCTTGATTGGGTGAATAATATTAGGTAAAGTAAGAGTCATTTGTTTTGCATATTTATTGCACTTGTTTGGGTAAATTTGAGTATTTTTGCTAATGATATTGGTTTTTTACGTTTACTTTTGTTTAAAAAGAAATTGTTTTTTTTTTTTTGTTTTGGGTTTAAAAGCAAGTTTTTGCGGACCTTTGTTACTTGTTTATAGCTACTGAGCGTGTAAATGATTGTATAATGTCCGTCACTTACCGCATTAAGTTGTTCAAAGGTTAATGTTTCCGGTCTGTCTTATATGTTTCCTTTTTAAAAGCACTATTGTGTCTACAAGTAATTTAATATGGGCGCGTTTATTTGAGTAAACTTGAGTCCTATTCATGTACACATCAGAACATTGGACTTTTTATTCACACTAAAAGGAGATTGATAATTGGATATTCTTTATTATGGTTTGACTTTTCTTTTTCGAAATGTAAATAGTTTTTACTCAATATTTTAGCCTCGTTCTTCTCATAGGGCAATTTTTTTTACAGAATTAGTTGTCAAAATTTCCTTATTTTTTGGGGGCTGTTGACTGGATGTGTTGGCCATATTAAATTTGGTCTTGCATAGCATTTGAGGGTTTGGTGTCATTTGATGAGAAGTCCCTGGTCGCTAGTGACCGGCTTCCCAGATCTTAATTTTTTTAGTAGTGTTTTTAGTGCAAGTGTTGATTCTGTTTTTCTCAGCTGTTCCATTTGGAAGAAGCCTTATGGAAAGCATTGAAGGATTAGTGTGTAAAATTTTGCAGTGTTTTTATATTGCTTCCTACACTTGTCAGGCGGATATTGAGGCTGTTTGTTTTACTTGAATGTCTTTTGCAAGCCATAGAACAGAATTTTTTTTGGGATTTGAAATTGTTTTTTTGAGGTAGCAAAGTGCAGGATAAATGTTAACAGCCTGTTCTCTCTCTGTGATTTCCGAGAGGTACAACTGTAGTGATCTGTATCATTGGTTGCGCTTGTTAGTTTTCATTAATTATTCCAGATGTAACTTTACAATTGAAATTATAATGCTAAAAATGAGAGGGTTTTAAAGTGTGAGTACTTCAGCTTCTTATCTAAAGTTTGTTGAGATTAAATTTTGTCAGTTTGAAAATGTTCGGGTAAGAGAAAAGGTTTGTAAACAGTTTTGACGGCTTTGGTGTCATATCGCAGTAGTTTGGTTTTTTGATCTCTTTTTGCCATTTGCTTCCAAAAAAATTAGAGTTTATGAAAATATACATTAGCTTGTGCTACTTTATGCAGACTAATAATTGGTGCGTTTTGCTGAAGGTAAAATTAGAAGAAATGTGTTGTCTGTTTAGACAGAAAGGTGTCGCAAAAATCATTGGATATTTGAAGAGAATTTTTGTTCATTGTGTTTGAAACTTTTATTTGCCTAAAGTGAAGTGATCTCAAGGGTTGTTCAACATTTCCCTAGTAACTTGCTTGTAAAGAGATTTATTTCCGTTAGACAAATAAATATTTTATTTTTGTTTGCATTAAAAAAAATTTGGAACAGCAGTTGAAGGCTATGCAATACTTTGTCAACTTCTTTGAAGCTAAAATGACAAACATTGAAAGTTTAGCCGGCTCTCAATGAGGTGGAAAACAGATGGGCGACTAATAGAATAGAAGGATATTTTAGTTAAATATCGGTAACAATGTCGATTATAAAATGGTGGTAGAATTGCCGTTAAAAGCGATTTAGTATCAAAATAATAAACAATAATTAGCCATTAGTGGGAGCGGTAAATGAAATCTATTTTGTTTTTACTCTGCTTTTAGAAAACCAGTTTACAAAACATTTATCTGATAAGTAATTGGAAAAATTGCTATGATCAAAAATGTACTCAGTAATATGGTAACGAAAAGAGAGAAAAGGGAAAAAATTCAATCTTAAATAGCTTTTGAAATTTACTGCCCAACTTTGTTCTGTTGATAATAGAATAAAAAAGACAAATACTAGTTGATGCCCTAAAAGAAGAAAAAAATCTTTGGAAAGCTTTAGTCAGTAGTATTTTAATGGTAAAATTTGTTCAGGTCAAATACACTCTCATATAAATGGCTGTTGTTGAAAATTTCAGGGAGTTCCGGTTTTTTCTACTCATTTTTCTTACATTTCGTCCTTTGGCTTTTGCTTTTGTCTTTTAGCTATCTTTAATGTATAGCATTCGGCTAAATTTCGAGTACAGTTCTGAGTACTTAGCGTATTTCAGTGATGATGGTATGGGTTGTTAATAACGGATTATATTAAAAAAAATTTTTGCTCGATGTCTTTGGC